ACTCGGTATCGGCCGATACCCAAAGCCCAGGAAAAAGTCTGATCGCCGCATCCCTACCGCCTTTAAAGCCACGTTGTGTATACTCACACTCATGCAACCGTTGTGTAGTAAGTTTATAAGATAACGTTTGACGATTTTTTTACTTAAAAGTGGTGTTCATTTGTGAAGATTATTAAAACTGTTGTCAGGACACCTCCAACTGCAAACACTCTTTCTATTATGATTTTTTTGATGTATGGAGCTTTTATATTTGCAAAATTTTTCTTGAGCAGAGCAAAAAGATGACGTCAATGCAATGTAAAGTCTATGGGCCGAGCGGGGACTTGTGGTTACGTCTGTAGTGGCCATTTGTCCGATAAATCAAAAAACAAAGGGCCACTGATGCACCGTGGGTTTGTGGTTAACGCTGGCTGAATAGTTCACTGTCCATACAGGATTCCGTTTTTCTCATTATTTATTTGGCAAACCAAAACAAGCAAACAAATAAAAGATCAAAGAAACTGCTGTCGCTGCCTCTCCTGCGCCACCACCCCGGTGCATGCTGGTCCTATACCTGCCTACTCCTGCAGGTGCCTGCAGTGTTACCCAATTCATAAGCACATTAACCAACCGCAAAACGAAGTATACTGAAACAACAACAAAAAATAATTCAACTAAACAAATGACTATTAAAAAGAAAAAGCAATGTTGATATATCAAACAAACAATCTAACCTAAATAAGCAAATGTCTAGAATAATTAAACAATATGAATAACACAACTAAATACTACAATTTAAAATAACTAAATACTAACTATGAAAATAACTAAATACTACAATTTAAAATAACTAAATACTAACATCAAATAAAAAGCTCCTGGATCCAGTCATCTGAGGCTGGATACCCTGCCACTCATTCTGGTGCTGCTGATCCAGATGAATAATACCTGACAAGGTGAGGATTTAGTTCCTTGCCTAAGGGCAGTTCACCAGGGTTTATTTGTGGCTGTTGACAAAAGGTTGACATCATCAGGATGAATGACCTTTTACTGGGCACTCTTTCCCACCTTAAACCAGTCCTGTCACTGTAATTATTGTGGAGAGATACCAAATGCTGTCAAGGCCTTGTGTTTTTTCATCTTTTGCTTTCATGTATTCCTTCATGCACTGTGGCTTCAGAGGTGGTTCACTGTTTCTATGCTACAGGTAAACACCTGCGTCCATCTGTCATGGGAACCGCATTACAAGAGTGTGCAATTTTATCCAACAGCTGGCCAACACCATGAATTCCTCTCTTAGTCAGTAGAGGTTGGATAGACAATGGCTGACATGCTGTAGTTGAATCTATTTCCGCCTCGTGAAACCTGCAGGTTTTTTTCAGCCTTGTTCTGAGGGCATGAACGCTGTGTGACACTATGTGTTCACTCAGCACGTTAGCTGCAATCATGTGAACGCTTTGAACTCCGCAGCATGGAATGTGACACAAAAGTACAAGTGCTGGGAGCGCAGAGAGGCTGACTCACAGGATGTGTAGGATGAAATTAGGAATGATGGTGGTGAGGCTAAAGATGAAGATCAGTGTGCTGTTGTGAGGTTTCTCCTGTGACTTGTAAACCTTTACCTTTTTCCCAAATCAATACTTGGTAAACGTCCTGATTCATACCAGGGTTTTACTTTTTTTCAGCCTATTCACTACAAATTACATATAACCTTACTTAAAAAAAACATTTTCCAAAGTGGTGATTCAGATGAAATATTTTTCTTCTAGCTTTCAGACAGCCATTGCTTTATGACAGATACTGTGCAGAGACTTGCAGAGAACGAATAGCTCAACTTTACACGTAGCCTAGTCGCTAGTCGTGCAGAGAGTCATGTGAGAAGGAGCTACCATCATGTCTGAGCCAGCGGACGGTTAGCTTAGCTTAGCATAAAGGCTGGACACAGCTAGCCTGGCTCTGTCTACGGGTAATAGTCCAGGACATGCTACGCTATAAAGCCATGACTTGTCCTTCTCACACTTCGGCTGTGTATTAAACAAACGGAATATGACATGTTATTAGTAAGCTAGGTGCTGATGGATTTTCAACAGCACCAGGCCAGCTGCTTCCCTCTGTTTCCAGTATACAGTATATGCTAAGCTAAGTGGCTGCTGGCTTTGTATTTACAGTACAGATATGAGAGTGGTATTGATCTTTGTATGAGCATAGTTCCAAAAATGTCTATTCCTTTAAAACCGTTATTCTTTAATTCTTTATCAGAGGGGTATTTATGGACGTATTTCATATCGTAGAACAAAACGTTAAAATCTCTTATGCTTGTGTTAACCACAGACTGTAATTCAGGCATCTAACCAACAACACATTCAAAAAACATTGACTTCAAGACGAGAACCAGAAGTGCTAATATGCTGACTCATTTCTGGTTTTAGCAGTGGTTCACTAGGGATGGGCAGTACAATATGTGGTATCAATACTTTGGTACTGACATTACTCATTTGGTATCAGTTCCTTTAAAAAAAAATATTGATGATAAAATGATATAAGTGGCTGCATCACTTCTAAACATTTTCATCACTTTTGCTTATTTTTGTATTTAATTGTACTCATATTGCTTTTTTAATAAATGTGTTATTAATGGCCATTATGTGTAAATCACAGACCCAATCATGAAATCGATACTGCTAAAATTGTAACAGAAAGTATAGGTATGGTATAGAATTTTAAGAGTTTGGAATCTTCCATATGGTTCACCATGCTGGAGTAGACCACCTTAACAATATTCTGAAATAAGAACACCAGCCATGAAAGTAACACTTTCATCACAAAGTGTCACAAACACCTTCAGGAAGTAACAAGCTGAATAAAAATGCATGATAATAATTCATTAATTATTCCTGAGATAAATAAACTACCTTCATTGCACATAAACTATGACTATGTCGCTCTCTGAGTCGAGCTTTCCAACAACTCTGTGAGCTCGTGCTTCTATTCACACCGCCCATCATTTAGGATGCATTCACGACCAGTCGCCTGTAGTCTGAAATGTGAAAACTACAAACACTTGATTACAATTGTTGTTAAAAACATATTTGTTCCTGCCGTTGTTTCTACAGTTGGAAAAAAAATGTCGCACAAGTGGGTGGCCGAGTGTGCGTGCACGTGCACGTGTCAGCTGGGAAAGTCAACTTGTGCATCGGTGGCGCGTGCAGCTGACGCTACGAAACCTCGCGCTCAATTAAACGTTATTTTTGCCGTTTTCATGAGCCTTACTTTTTTATCACACTCAACACGTGGACATTACCAGTAACAAAAGGCACTATAGCACCTTTATTGTGCTGCGCCATCCGTCTTAAATCCGCTCTATGGTCATTACAGTTCCATCTGGTGAAGCAGAGTAACACCCGAGACTCTCTGTACTTCACGTTAGTATATTCCATGTGAGTTAACGACACAGAATCACACGGAATACACGACACAGGACGGAGGCTGCCGCGGGATGGAGAGCTGCACTCACCGCTGGAGGATGTGTCTCGCAGTTTGTCGTCTCTCAAACGGCGTCGTGCTGTCGGTCCTCCTCCGTGTCGGCCCACCGCAGGATCCACATCAGCCTCTCTCTGTCTGTGTCTCATCTGTCCGTCTCCGACCCTCTCTCGTTCTTCTTGTTTACGGTCCAATCCGGGGACTTTTTTCGCAGCGTCCCCTCATTGCAAAAGATACATCCTCACATGTCATATTCATTTATTTATATTTTTATTTATTTCACCGTGTGGTGGAACGTCGCCATCTTGTGGCAGATGTGATATACTGGCTGCTGGCGGTTATGTAACAGCCGATGAAGCGGTCGTGGGGCAGGGTGTTGATGTGATAAACCGTGCGCCGGATTACAAGGGAAACAGCGAGCATGCGCACCGTCTTTGCGTTGTATTGTTAGTATTACGTACGTGGATGTGACAAAAGCATTTTCTTCATAATCGTCATGATCATTGTGCATGCATAATAATAATAAATGCATCACATATGCTAACATCCCAGACCAGATGTTTAAATCATGGATGTAATAATAGTAATAATATGACGTATAGTGTCATCATATGTGATGTACAGAAATTGGAAAGAATTGGAAGAATGTACCAAATGAATACGTCAGCCATCAGTTTTACAAAACTGATTACAGCTTGGGAAGCAATGACTGCTGTAAAATAAAAAAGATTAAAAATAGATAGGGTGACATCTTTGATCTTTCTTTGTTGAAAATCTCATTACATCCTGTCAGCAATCAATGAATAAAACGCAAAAACAAATCTGGTATCTGTGGCTGTAGCAGGACTGTAAAAAGTTTGATCATTTCATTCGGTTCGAACATAATGATTAAACAAACTACCTGTCTGTCTTCATGATCGCATTCTGCCTGTGGGTTAAGCCGCTAGCTAGCTTGACTACTAACAACAGCCATGTTTGTAATTTAAGTTTATTATGATCATTTAGGGGGAGTGGCTTTAGAGGGAGGGGTGTCAGTGTTGATGACTTTCTTGATAGATTTAGCAACTTTTGGAGCTAGTGCTGCTGACTACTTTCACTGGGAAAGAGCTGGTAACACTGGGCTGAGTTTTCAGTTGGATCTTTTTTTATCAGAGGCAGAAGTGGTCCTTATTTTTACTAACATTTCCTCTTCAATTGTAGAAATGCATAAGACGATGCAACTTGCCCAAACTTCATCCGCAATTAGATGTTCAGCTGTTTGAACTGGCTGAGTCAAGCTCAATTTGTGTTTCCCGAAGCGACGAATATATATTAATTTGTTTTTCATATTTAGAATACATTCAGTTTGAAAAAGGCCAATGGATGTTCTGCAGGCTTATTCAGAAGAAGGGCGAGTGTGAGTTTGAAATAAATTAGGTTAAACAATGATGAAGTGGAGCTGAAAGAGAGGTTAAGGAAGCATCTTTGTCTGAGTGTGTGTGTGTGTGTGTGTGTGTGTGTGTGTGTGTGTGTGTGTGTGTTGTAATGAGTCTGGCTTCATAATTGGGCTGCAGGGCTCCACTCAGCTCTCATTACCTTTTCACTCGCTGCAGACGGCTTGACACGTCAGCCTTGTTGATGTTGTGTTGCATCACAAAATAACAGGACAATTTTCTCTCTCTCTCTCTCTCTCTCTCTTTGCCCACACACTCACACAGAGACAAACAAATGAAACAAAAAAAAACATGTGATGGAAGCATGAACAGCTTCATGATTTTAATTCTTGCAAATCAAAGGACGCCGTTTGTCTACAAACAGAACATAACGGAGAGATGTGGTCATTTATTAACAGTGACGTACAACATGCACAAAACAGATGTCCAGTGTGTGTGAGTGTGTGTGTGTGCGTCTTCCCTGTACATTAGAATGCATCGATCCAGGAAGGAAACCCAGCACAGCTTATTGATTATGTGCATCCGTCCATCCTCTCACTGGCTCAGAGACTCCACGGGGCTTTTCAGACACGATGACGTTATTCCTCTAATTTAATTACTCCTCCATTACATTTTTTCATTATGCCCTAAACATTTACTAATGTGTTCCAGTTTATTGATCACTCGCCGCTCAACTGCTGAAGACGCTAAATTATGCACGGTGGTGTTTCGGTTGGCAGTAACTTCAACTTACTTAAAGCTGGTCCCTCAGTCCTTCGCTCATCCAGACAGAAACTGCTCTGTTTCCTAAAGAATCACCTCAACCCAGCATCCTTTTACACACAAGTTTCAAAAAGATTTAAAATGAACAAATTCATGTTCGCAGTTGTATTCAGCTACACACAAAATGGCATATTCCCTTTTTTGAACACTCATTTAAGAATAATGGATGGCCAAACCTCTTCATCAAAGATGAACAAGGAGCAACTTTAAGACAGACTAGTCAGTCCATTAGTCTGAGAGTGCTTTATAACTTCTTCTTTTTAAATATGAGAAACAAAAACAAAAATCATGTTTAATAAGTAATGCAAGGTGCTCCAATATTTGTCTGCGAGCTAAAGATGCATGTTAAAAAGAGGCTTTGCACCAAATCTTCCACGAGTTGCTTCAAACAAGTGAAATCAGACAAAACCGCTCAGTGAGTAACCCTGCACAAATGTTAAGTATCTATAGTAGTTCTATCCAACATCAAGTGTACTATCAAATATTTACCCCTTAAGAAGCCCGGAGGCCTCTCCAGAGAACCGATAATGCAGAGTCAGATTGTTTTGTGATCTGATTACTCAGCAGATTCTTTGCCAGAAGAGCAATATTTTCCCTGTAGTTACACTGAAAGGTCTTGTTAGCATTGACTGCTGCACTGAGCTGAACTGGTTGCTTTTAAAATACTGTACAATGCTTAAATAAATAAAGGTATTTAAAGGAGAAACACGTCTGTAGTGCGCTTAATGACGGATAACAGAACAAGAGTTTATTTTAAGGTCATGATATTTTTGAGATTCCAAAATGTGTCAGATAGAACGGTTGCATAGCACATTTGAGCCCTTTGTAGGTGTAAGAATGAAGCTCTGCCATTGGCTCTGACCATTAACCTCCCTGTGAGGACAGACAGTGTGTAGCACCTGGTTCATTCAAAGGGACCAGAGGTAACATGGTAGATGAGAACGTCAAGTGTGCATGTGGCACATTTTGAATTTGTCATCCCAAACATTCTGAGTCTGAGAGAAAGAAGATCATCGAACCAGTCCACGCCATAATTCATCTCAGCTTCCCTTCGAGGCTCTCTGCTCTCGCGCCTTTCTGCTGCCGCTTCTTCTTCTGCCGTCTCCTGGTGCCGGCATCAAAGCAGGTGACCATCATGACGCCGGCCTTGCAGAGGTTGAGCCTGTCCTCCAGCCGGGCCGTCACCACTTCGAGGGCCTCCAGATGCTCCAGGGAGTCCACCTCGAAGGTCTGCCACAGGTCGACTGGAGGACGACAGTGAGGTTTGACACTTAAGTTATTAAGGACAGGGAGTTTTGAGCGGCAAACGTTTTTTTATGCACCAATCTATGGTGGAAAAGTTTTTATTTATGTAAAGTAAAATACTGAATTCAGGTGACAAGTCAAAATAAAACAATATGATGGAATATGATGGAGTAAGTCAAATATGTATTCTGTCACTCTTTGTTATCTCTGCTGAGTCAACCCACATGTATTCATGATTTATTCTTCAACCTCTTTAAATGTACACATGGCACCATACATCATTTAAATCCATATATAAACCCCTACACTTTAATACCTCTTTAATAGCTCATTAATAGCTCATATGTGTTCCAGCAGGATTTCTGCTCATGTTCTAAACAAATCCCACATATCCGGTTCTCTGAGACGTCGAGAATGAATTTGTAATATTTTGATAAAATATTGTAATATTACGAGAATAAAGTCGGAATTTTAATAAGAACAATTAAAATGTCTACAGTAACCTTTAGTCTGCTGTGCATTATATGTTATTGCTGTGCTGTGATTGTGGAATCCCCTTCTGAACCCTGTTTAGGACTGCAAAAGTCTCTCATGGGGGGGGGGGAGGCAGAGACAGCAACACAGAGCTACAGGTCTGATTATAGCCTATTATAATATTATGACTTCATCCATTAAATCTCTGATTATTATTTTCTAACAGTGGCCCTAATACTCTGTCGTAGTTGAGTATTTCACCTTTTGGTTTATCTTTCACTAATTTGTGGCTGTATTAGAGCAGCCTTTATGACCAAAATTATTGGATAATTCAGTAGACACTGGATATTGATAGGGACATGTCTACCTTACTGTATGGGGTTATTGTATTTAGACAATATTTACGATAAGGTTAAAGCGCCGCACTCTTTGAGTACAATAACATATAATGTGCTTTATAGGAAATTACAATCAGTGGTAAAGTTCAAAGTGATGATGGTAATGAGGATTGTGGATATTGTTGCAGTAATGGCAAGATGCTGCCCCCTGTTGAAATGTTGTCATACTACACGCTTATTATTTGCTCATTGACTGAAGGTAGAGCTTAAACGATGCTTAGCATTTATTGGGATCTATTGGCAGGAATAGAATATCATATTACAATGATTTTTGTAGCGTATAATCACCTAAAAACAACAATTGTTGTGTTTCTGTTACCTTAGAATGAGACGCTACCATGGACCCTTACCAAAATTCATTAATTAATTGTTCAAATAAATCATCAGTAATAATCATTAATTGGCACCCTAATTGATCACTGGAGATTTCTTTCATTCTCTTCCTGATCTAAGCTTTTGTGACTCCACTTACCACATATCTTAAAATTGTTCTAATATGTTAAAACAACTTCACATTGATTTATTTTAAAAATGTAAAAGAAACAAATATTATTATACATGCTTTTTTCCTCAAAAGAAGAAAAAACAGACTGACACTCTTGGTTCCACTTGGCGGGCTCCAGCATGAGGTGTAGCTTGGCCCGCTCTAGCTCTCTCCTCAGGTTGTTGTATCTGGCTCGGACCTCTGAGATCCTCTGCTGACGGTGCTCCAAAAACTTCAGCTTGGCACTGAAGCATGCAGGCCCCTGAAAACACACACACATTTCACTACTTTTATTAAGGTTGATACAGCACATAATCATTGATGAAAAGCTTGTATTTTAAAAACGTACTACTACTGTTCTTAAAAAATGTAAATAATAATGTGGTGGAATGGCTGCAACACCTTTTTAACCATCCACAATTGTATTAATGAGGAAGTTTCAAGATTATTTTAAATGTACGGTCCCCGTGTGCCTCCTAGCATTTGATTAAAACGCTACGTTTGAACCTAAGCCTAATAACCGCTACTTGCCTTACCCTTACCTTTACCTTTACCTTAACCTTAACCTTAACCTTAACTTTAACCTTAACCTTAACCTTTACCTTTACCTTACCATAACATAACTTTAACCTAAACCTAACCTTACTCAAACCTTAAACCAAGCCCTCACCCTAAGAGAAAATGATTTACGGTTTGGGGACATGCATTTTGTCTCAAAAGTAAGGTGAGGCCCCTCAATGTCGAAACAGATTTATGTCCCCACAACATGAGTCATACACACTACACACACACACACACACACACACACACACACACACGGTGCTTTAGCAGTTGAATGAAAAACAGCACCTCCCCTCTCGCTCTCTCTTTCTCGCTCCACACACTCATAAACACCATGTTAGGGTTGGGAGGACACCTCTGGGGAGTGAGGCTCCTGAACAGAATTACTCTCTAACCCTATTAGTAAGAGGCAGTTTATAAGGCATGGGGTGCAGCAGGACTACACATTACTATTATATTTACAACTTGTTGTTTTTTTGTCAATGATGTCCAATGAACAAAAATAAGTTATATTTATTTTAGAATCTATGTATTTTACATCCAGTGTCCTTCTTTGTTCTTTGCTGCAGCATTGACCCAATTTCCCCCATGTGGTCATTAAAATTGCATCAAAGTTGCCGTCCCTGAGACGGGTGGAGGCGGGGAGTGTAGTCTCATGAGGGCAGACCTCTCTTGTCAACGGGACATTACGTCAGCACATGTTTCACATTTGGTCTTCATGCCCATTTCAACTCCAAAGGCAAAGAATCTTTTATGAAACCTTTACTCACCCAGGGTGAGTTCACAGAGCATGCTGTTTTTCAGCAACATGCTGCCTCTACCTCTATACCTCACACATGAGACATGGTAGCTGCCCATATGGGATTGTTAAAGCAAAGCACTGCATGACTTTCTACTTACAGGCTGTGGAATACACAGAACCTGCTACACTTCTAATAGTAAAGTAATATTTTTAGTTCACATTTTGATCTCCCATTTACAACAATAACGTCTCGAGGTAACTAAATATACAGATAAGTCATTCCCAAAGAATGGGTCGGGACCCACACGTGGGTTGTAGGTTATTTTATTAGGATTTCCAAAATATTGGTAGAATTTCTTTGGTAGACTTCTATTTAACATGTATATCTGCAGTACACATTTGGCCACATCTTTTTGATATTTGTAGCCTACTTATAACATTGAATCTAATATGAAAGGTTAGCTTACATTCTGTTTGTTTAACTGACACGAGGAAGTGAAAAAAATGAGATAGCCAGTTAACTTTGCCAAAATGTAAGTTTAAAGTGTTTAACATGTGTATATATTTTCAATAACACATGCATGAAACGATGTTGTGATTTATCAAACGTATATGTCTTTAAAATGGCTGCTTTAGTTAGTTTACTGACATTAAGATAAAAGATAATATAAGTAAAAAAGCTCTGCTATAGAATAACAAAAAAGGAATGACTGTTTGTGTGTTTAGTGGTAGTCTAATTTTATGTTCTCAACCTGTAGCTAGAACCCTAAAATGGAGATGAGCAGCAGAAAATATGAACTATATAACATTTACACCTTGTTTTTCTCAAGCTACATACTGCAGGTGCCTAACCATTATGTTCATGAACTGGTTTGGTTAGCTTGCAAGTTGCCCCTGTGGTTGATCCCTATAAATTAGCTTCAATAGCTAATCCAGGGGGCGAAGAGACAAGCGTTTGATAAGAGATTTGATAACCTCGGAACCAGCTGTCAGAAGACTTTCATGGCAAAATGCAGAGGGCTGTTTTTCAAACCTGATGCCAATAACAAGAAAGGGGGCTTTGCTTTAGAGACTTTAAAAAAGGCTGTGTGGAGATATGTTCGACCAATGTTGCTATTTCCATTGGTTTCAAAAAGAGGTTGATAAAGGTCATATTTTACATAATGCCCTTTAACCTCCTAAAAATCAAAATAAACACAGCACCTGTTTGCCAGCACCTGCTCTTTTCTGCATCCTCTGCACATTGTCGATCTCATACACCTTGATCTCGTAGGCCTCGGGGATTCCCCGATCCACCCAGCCAGACTGCAGACCACTGGCCGAGCGTCTCAGGGACAGGGGGGCATCATGGGAAAGGCGGCGCTGGTGAGTACCTACAGCAGGGCGAGGCAGAGTAGAGTGAGACGCTGTATCTTGATTTGACTTGTTTTCTTTCTCTTCTTCCGTTTCTGAAACGTACTACTGCATATACACAGTGAAACTGTTGAGATATTCTTCACTATAAAAATACCCAATCAAACTATATTTAAGGTAGGGTGGCATTTCAGTTGATTTTTTATGTTGTTAATATTTGTCATGATCAATTTCCGGTGCTGGCACGGAGAAAAGGCACTGTTTGCTCAATTTAAAGACTTGGCCCAGGATTTAAAGTTATAGCAATAGATGTACAGTATACATGGCATTTATTTAAATTCAGCAGCACAGAGTAAAATGATGTTGTTTTGTTCTCAGGTCATCATTTTATAAGTGAATAAGCCTGCTTGTGGTGCTCATAGATCTACAAGGTGGCTAATGCTGGAAATCAGAGTATTACTGAGCTGCTACGTTAATATTGTCAACTGACATTCTGCTCTAAAAGCATCACACCTGATAAATGAAGGCTGTTGTCCCTAAGTGGCTTTCAATGCCTAGGGCCTAGGCCATGTGCTCTAATGGGGAACAGAGAATACAGTTTGCCTGAGGCCAAACACAGCTTGCCAGGGCTACCATATTATTCATAAAAGTCAAGACAGGAGACATGGTTTCTGTAATTCGGTCTGGATTGACTCAGTTTGTCAGTACAGGAAAAGATAGTTTACGCTTTGTGTGACTGGGATCCTAAGACATTAAAGCTACTTCGAGGAACTTTCATTTTGTGTTCATTTTGGTGGACTAAAGAGGTAGTGTTTCCAATCATAGGAGTCCAGGGTCAGTGCTGGCTCCGGCTCTCCCGTGGCCTCCAGCAGCATGGTGTTGGCTCCTAGCTAGGACCGGCGGAGCAACAAGGCGAAGTTCTGTCGGAGGAGGAGCTGCCAGGCGCTGAGCTCTCCACCTCCCACCGGAGCTCCGACTGCAGGTCAAAGGTGGCAGAGAAGCCGGATATTGGTCTGTCCACGGTGGACTGGTTGCTGCCGGAGGCTCCGCTGGAGTCTGAGCTGGTGAACCTAAGTCGTTTCGTCTGATTTCGTGGGGAATAAGACGCTATGACAAGCATTAAGAATAACTAAATAGCCAATCTTCTCACCGATGGTCTCTTTTGCCAATTTAGGTCATAGTGAGGCATCAATATTAAATTGAGACTGTTTTATAAGCAGGTGTACCAGTTCCTTGTAGTAACTTTAAGAATATGTTTTAACTCTATGTTTTAACACTAATGATATGGCTACAGCTTTTGTCGGAATGGAGATGAGTTAAATATGTCAGGGGACACTTAAGGAGAAATTAAGTACAGACTTCTTCCAATTAACAGTATAATTTGTTTTAGGACTTTAAATTCATAAATTCTGAAAAAGATTTGTCTCCGGTTTTTATTGCTCCATTAGCAGTTTCCACTGTGTCGACCTAGCGTTTCTCAATGTATGATTCCATTAGCGAGTATTGTTAGTATGCACACACACACATCTTTATAATTCACTGTACCAGCCAAACGCTCTTCATTTTCTGCTCTTGAGCTGCCATTAGTAAGTGCCGTCACCGGGTTCATGTATTAATAATGTGACCTCCTACATAATTTCGGCTTTTAATGACTGCATTCTACAGATGTGTGTCATCTCCAATTTATGTCACATTAATATGTTACGTGGTCAGATTACAAACTATGATGGTGGAACTACAGTGTTGTTCATAAAATTTGTGTGGTTAACGGTTTGGAAATTTTGTATTGTAGATTATGTCTAGGGAAGAAATTACATGGCATATTTCTGCAAAAAGTACTGAACTGGATTAAAATTTCCATAAGAAATACCATTACACTTTTTCAATTACACTTTTTTTGACATGATTCTGTATTTTAATCTGACAATTAAAGTATTGCATTTAAGTGGATTGGTGTGAATGTGCCAGTACTCCATTGGGATATTGCAGGTTCAAAACATCAGATCATAAAATTCTCCTTAACTGCCTTACAATACAACAATAATAAACAACTGACAAATATCAAGAAAAACATGGCATACATTAAAATCACCAGTATAAAATCATACTGTACTGAAATCAATAAAAACAATTCGTTGCTTTAAGTAAAGAAAAATATATGAATCGGTCTTAAATGGTCATGGCCGGTTGACAGGCTGAACTTGTGTGCTAGCTTTAGACTTCTTTGAGACTACACTTGTAAATCTAACATGCAACACCAACAACATATATTGAGACTCGACACTTGGATGAGGTTCTGATCTTTCCAGAAGAGGAAGTCATCAAGATCAGTTCATAAAAGGCCAGTTACACAAGTTTTACCTGTGTTGCCTCTCCTCCGAGATGATCGACTGCTACGAGCCACACTGAGAAGAGAGCTGCTCCTGTTGCTGACAGAATCTCTGTTTGAGATGGTGCTTCCCGTGGCTTCACTGTCCCTCACCATGCTGTCATATCCACTGCTCACCATACTGTTCCTGTTCGAGAAATTCAGGGATGTTTTCCCCATTGCTGGTGGCAAATCTCCGCTCAACACACTGGTGGTGTCACTAGCGTGCCCACTCAGGTGATCAGGCATTCGAGGAGCAGTCACCCGGCTGTATGGCGAGGGAAGTGTGGTCATTTGGTCCAGTCCTCCTGAAGTGGGGCTGGGAGCCCTTTCCTTAAGGAGGTCTGAGATCCGGCCATTGACAAACCCTTGGATGGCAGATTTTGTGGATGAGCATGTCGAGCTCTGGCTCGGAGTGCGACTGATGGAGTGAAAAGACCGCGGAGGGGAAGAGGAGAGAAAGGAGGATGTCCGCTCAAAGCTAACAGTTTTACAGTCTGGAGAAAGACTGGCACTGCGGTTAATGGACTGCTGCAGGCCTCTGTGGGGAAGACTGAGGTTCTTGATGCTAGGGACAGACAGTCGACGGACTTTGGGGCTGGCCATCTTAAGTTTCCCCACAGCAGAGAGCTTGGAATGGATATACCTAGCAGATTGAGTTACAGGCTTTTCAGAAAGAAAGAAGTGATGACTACGGTCAGTCCGAGGATTCTTCCTGGTGCTCTTGCTAGCCCTTGCTAAGGTACAAACTCCCTCGATACTTCCTTTATAAGCCCCTTCAGTACTTCCCTTGGAGCTCCCCTTAGAGCTCATGGAATTGCTATTACTGCCTCTATCCAGATTTGGGAAGTCTCTAGGGGTTCTCCCAAGGGAGTTAGTCCTGGTAGCCAGCTGTTCCAGTTTGGCACTGAAAAGCCGGCTGCTGTCCTCAATGGGTGACTTTGGCCTCCCAATCATATGATCATGTTTCAGTCTTAGGTTTGAGGTCTCAAACAAAGATTCAACGCCCTTTCTAGGAGCACTACTAGCACGCTGTTTGTACTCTGTTCCATATTTCGGAGGAGAGGAGACACAGTGGCTATGGTCTGCTGGGGAGTGCTGTCTGCCCTGCCTCCTCTCTAGAGTTACTCCTGGGCTACACGGGGTGGATGATGTCACCCCCCTTGGGTCTCTGTGGTTGTCTGCCATGTGACCACAATGGTAGCTGTCCTGGTGGTTGGCATTTTGCCAGCCTCTAGGCAAACTACCTGTTTTAAAGGAAGCAGTGGCGGTTTCCTGGCAACCAGGTGAAACACCAATTCTCTTAGGGGCATTCCCAACACGTCTGGAACTGATTTCGCCCCCCTCGGAGCCCTTTGGCGTGTTGGTGGAATAAACATGTTCCTTGTCTCTAAGGTGGCTCTTGTCTGATTGTCTCGGTCTCTTGCCACGCATTTTGTTTTCTGCTGTTTCATCGCAGAAAGCTGAATCTTCCAAGACCATTGGGTCAAAAGAACTTTGGCTAAACAATTCGTCACATACTTTGTCAGACTTTTTGGCATGTGTCTCATAAGTAAAAGCACCACTCCTCTTCTGAAGAGCCTTCCTATCTTCTGGAGATTTTACACTATTCCCTCGGAGGTCAGACTGTGATTTGACTTCTGTAAAAGGATCACAAGGACTTTCTTTTTCTTTCACACCATCAAATTCACAATCCACATCTGAATCAATCAGCATATGATTTATAAATGAAGGTAAGAACCTCTTTTCCCTTCTGAATTGATACTGGGGCTTGTCAGTGCTAGCCTCTGTAGCTACAGATTGAGCTACAGAGCTTTTGTTTGTATTAGAGGATCCTGCGGCTACAGTTTCTTCGCTAACATTGCTGATTATCCTGATTGGTTGAGAGCTGGTAGAGCCTTGAACATTTACCTGTGATTGGGCAGTGTCTCTGATACAAATAATGTTTCCACCTGTCCTCCCTCTTTCCAATACCCCACTGATGGTCACCTCCTCCACCATAGAGAACACAAGTTCATCTTGACCTTTCAGGTCTAGTGGCTGTTGAACGGTAACTGTGATAGTGGCCTTCATTTCCTTAACGTCCTCTGTTGGGCGATTACGTAAGACATCTCCGAGTATAACACTGGTAGCCAAGGAGTGTGAAGAGGAGCAGGAGGAGGAAGAAGATATGGGGGAGCTCTTGCCAACTGGTGAGGTCCTTTTGTTTGGTTTGAACCAATCAGCAGCTTCAGGACTCTCCTGTGTACCTTTTGGCAGAAGTGCAGAACTGGTGACGGCCATGTCCTGAGCTTCCACATTAAAGTTCTGAGAAGAGAGTTTATCAGCTGACTTAAGAGTTCCGTTTTTGGGCAGCTCAGAGCGACAGGTCATGTTAAGACTGAGAGTTTGATTTAGCAGTTCTTCACTGGAACTGGTTGCACTGCACTCCTCACAGTCATACAGGCCTGAATCCTCTCTCTGAAAACTGTCACCCGGGAAGGCACCATCTGTTTGCTTTTCTCCGACAGAGGCCTGACTGCAGCCAAACCCCTGATTCAACAACAATTTCTGTGGTGTCTCTGATGATTCGGTGTCTGCCTGTTTCCCTGTGTCTTTCTGGGGTTGTGATTTGGCTGTGACGTTGTCAACAGAAGGGCCTTTTGAGGAAGACTTGAGCGCATCCATTGTTGCCTCACTTCCATCGATACAACCCAAGCGCTCTTGAAGTTCAGCAAATGTGTCACATTTAAGACAGTCCCTCCCTGGCTGCTTGATGTCTGCTTTCAACACCTCAATATTCCCTTGAACAGTTTCTTCGTTTTTCTTCTCTCCCTGCAGTTGAGGAATTCTCAGAAGCTCTTGGAGCAGAGCGGTAAACTCTGGGTCATCCATGTCAGCCTTGTTAGGATGCAAAGAGGGTATGATAGGCACAAATTGAGGTTGCACCAGTCTTGAGGTTCCTTTGGAGTGGACCAAGCCATCCGTGTCTATTTGGATGACTGTGTCACAGGACTGGTCGCTACTGGAGCGCTCATCTAGTTCACCACGCAAACGGAAACGAGGGATGTCGACGTCTACCTCATCGGTGGAGTGGAACGCCCGCAGGGACGAAGACGGAGGCCCTCTCTTTTCTTTAGTCAGACTCCTCCCGGAAGGAGAACATGAAGTGGACTGCTGTTGGATAAAGATGTATTGTGGAGTTAGTTCTAGAACTGGACTACCCAAAACGAATAAATCACTGGGGTTTATTGGAAACAATCACTCTCTCTTCCTTTGCAAAGAGGGCACCTATACTGTGATGCCATTAAGAGATGGTGAATGAGTAAATAGACGTTACAGGACATGTACAATACCTTCGTTCTCTTCTGTGTCCTGCGGATGCGAGAAGCCAGCTGGATGGTGGACAGGGTCTCTTGAAGGTGTACCAGTGAGTCATCCACCTGAGCGATCACTGTGGTATGGCAATTCACATGACCCAAGGCCTCTCGAAGAAGTAGAGTCAACTTACTGCCCCTATGCAGAGGCAGTGCAAATGTCCAGACATTAATCAAAGGATGCATCAGTTATTTTGATCTCCAAGCAGACTATCAATTTCCGACAATTTAGTGTAGTCCCTTCGTTTTATGCCACTATGAAATGGGTTTACAGGCAAATATCTTACTATTTTTTTTTTTTTTAAACCAACAGCAAGAATTAACTTCAGCTCAGTGTCAAAATATTACCACAGTTCACTCTACACCAATGAATGCCATACATGTTTATTTCATATTTTGGAGGTACTTACTTGATGGGGGTGGTTTTATGTCCACTTAGTAGAGATAAGACAATAGGGCCCAGTTCAGAATATGGAGGTTTATTCTTGCTCATACCCCTTATACCACTACACACATCTATCATGGTCAACTTTGTGGGCCCACGTGAACCTATGCATGGAAGTCGGAGAACAAAGAAGAGTGTAAATGCAAAAAGCTTAGCATGTTTTCAAATATGCAAATAAAGAACACATGAATTATATAAAGATATACTGTATATGAAACAGCATTAAATCAGCACTGAATTTAGGGTTAACGGTGGCAAATAATTCATGGGGAAACACCAAATTCACCAGGGAAAGGCCACCCTGGTAATTGAATAATTCATTACAACCTTTGCCAATGGTGCTGCTCTCTGTACGAGGGGGTTGGACGTGGAGGGTGAAGAACATTATGGAGCTGTGAGACAGGTATGTAATGAAGTCATTGTGCCGACGTGCTGCAATGGCCGCGTCCAGGAGGGAAGCAGCCCGCTCAGCAGTGGGGGCCTTCACCCGGTTGTGGTTACGTAGCTGGAGGAAGGGGACACGATAGTCATAACATTTCACGTAGAATCTCTTCATATAATACTTAAGGAGAGACACCAATATAAATATCTATTAACGAAAAGATATCACCATGAAACGTATCCAGTTGATTACTTACATTACAACTATTATTTATTGTATTATACGTTTGTTTAAATATGCAAATAAGGCATTCTTTTTTAAACTTTTTTAATTTATTTTATTTTGCACAATTCAAACAATAAAATTAAAGGTAAACAAACATAACATTGATAAATGAATATCACAGTATAGGAAGAGGCAGAAAGCCAAATGGGCTTATTTGAAGCCTCCACCTATATAATATTAAAGTTTTACAAAAAACATAAAATAAAATATGCATAAGACATTACATTACAACAAAACAAACATATTAGAGTCAAAGGTTTTTACAGGATTCGTTTTTTTATCACTCCATTAATCAGAAAATACTGTCAACAGCCATAAAGAAAATTATAAAATTTTCTACATATTTTTAGGAATAAAATGTTCTATAAATTAGAATGAACAATATATGAACAAAACCCTCTAAAGAAATCCTTTGGAATATAGAAAAGAAGGAAACTGGAAAGCTTGGTGTGTGTAAGTGCCACTTCCGGCTCAGAGTGAGAAAAAACTGATTTTGAGAAACGGCCTTTAAAGATTTATATCGGAAAATGTCCTCCATTTGGAAGACACTACAGGTGAATAGGGTAAGAAAATAGTTAATAGATATCACCATTATTACTTACATAAGGACAATTATTTTTGCATTGGTTTACATTGATTGCATTGCAAGTTTTCTGAAACGTTATGTTTAAGTATGTAATAATGCATTATCTAATGCTTACTTTTGGTGAATTAAGGTGAAATCTAAAATAAACACCTAAAAGTGTATTTTGAATGTTTTCTTTTCCACTAGTCTGAAAGAAAACATGTTATGGAAGCAATATAGACCAAAATCTCAAAATTGACCAGAGCAGGAAAAAACATATTTTTGCCTGTAGTGTCTCCCCTTCAATGAAAAACAACTGTCATTTGAGAATATTTTGGAATGACAGCTCCATTCATACGTTTCATTTTCCTATTCAATGAACAAATAGAGAGAAATGCACAGCTACACTAGTGAGGTCCTGGCTTGCAGAAATGCCAGGGCAAAGATAGCTGCACAATCATAATGCAATCAGATGTAATCTTGTATGCAATCTAATAAACTTCACTGACTACCAGTACAATCTCCTCATATACAGTATAGACCATTATCTAGATTGACTATCTAAATGAACATTAACATTAATCCTACCATATCTAGAGGGCAATGTCTAAAACCAAACAACCAAGACATCTAGAGCAGTATCTGTGATAACACACCTCCTTCGGGAAATGAATGAGCAATAAACAAAAGTTAGTAAAATAACACTTGTCTGTGAATTATTGAACCTTTGATACAATGCCAGAGAAGTAGAGCCAAAAAATTGTCACATGTCAGCAACAAAATATACAGCCTTGGCTCTCTGGTTTTCCAGATTTGGAACCGTCTTTTATCTGTTTCCAAAGATTGATTAGACTGTACATAATCATACAAAGAACAATAACTAATTTTTTGACCCTTGTGTGCTTGCTCTTAACAGGAACAACAGACAGACCGGGAGAGACACAGCAGAAGCAGCAGTTAAATTAACAAGCCTGCTTTATCCAAATAAAAGCCCTTTATTTATTTTACCTGTATCCCATAGACGGGGTCCTCCTGGAGTCTCATATGGGCTTTTGGGCTGTCCTGGACACTCCCTAATGAGGGGACGACCTCCCCCAGCAGATCCCTCATGGTGTCCTCCTCTCCGCAGCAGAGCTCTATGGCTGACACTGATACAATCAGATCGGTCCAGGTCTTCTCCCTCCGCCGCTCGATGGCGCTGTACAGCCAGGAGATGGCACAGGGAACCAGCCCGACTTTCTGGATGCTCTCACCGCTCCCCACCATGCTAGACCAGGAGCCTGAGGCAGACGACAAAGCATACCGATGTATGCATGCTACATACAGACACACATACATATAGTACATATACATGCACAACATGCTGGCCTTTAAACACACGGGCACCCCATCATACAATATACACTCTGAGAACAACCGTCTTTACATGATTTATGGTACAAATCCATGGTTGACTCAGGCTGTCTTTTAGGTAAATATTTGTGTGTGTCTGTTTTTTCCCTTGTTTCCAGGGTTGGGGCACCACAAAGTACTTACACTTCGGACCCCCAAATAGCTAGCAGAGGCCCTGTATTGACACACTTGCATACAGGTTCACAGACATTCAGCTCCAGGCAAACATTCATGCTAAAATAAAGTGGGCTAGTGGAGGTGAACTAGCTTACACAAATCCCAATACAAAATACATAAACTCCATAAAGATGGAGGAGATTCACAGAAACACCCCAAAACACTTCCTCGTGGACTGATGCCATACTGTATCTCCAAGTGCACATTTGACCCACATTAGTTTTGAGCTATATGGGCCTGTTTTACCATTCTTGTCTTATCCAAACTCTAATTGAATGAGGATAAGATAATTGGTTTTACTCCAATTAAAGGCCAAGCTGGCTGCCGTTATTCAGAGAGAATAGTATTCTGTAGTGGAGATTGATATCCCCAGGCTGTGGGCCACATGTAGTTTGTATTGGCCAACTAATTCAATCAGATTTACGGAGAGTGGCGTCATGTGAAAAAGCAGCTCCAAGGAGACCCTGTCCTTACCCTGTGTGTGTCTGTGTGTGTGTGTGTGTGTGTGTGTGTGTGTGTGTGTGTGTGTGTGT